CTGCAGGAGGTAATGTAGTTGACCCAATTTGGAGGTTAGTCTGGTTTAAATTTGTTCCGCCTAAAGTTTCTGCATTTGTGTGGAGAGCAGTGCACCTTAGATTGCCAGTTATGACTGAGTTGAATAAAAGAGGGGTCAAATGTAGTGATCAGATGTGCTGCCTGTTTTGCTTAAAAGAGTTGGAAGATATCAACCATGTCCTCTGTCACTGTGTTGTAGTTTGGGAAGTTTGGCTTCGATGGTGTAATGTGTGGAGTACCAACTTGGTGATTCCCAAAAATGTTAGTCAATTATTAGAAGTCTGGTTCGCTCAGAGTATTAGGAGGTGTGTGGGGGCGCTTTGGTGTATTGGTTTTTTCGGATTGATTTGGATTATCTGGTTATGCAGGAACAAAACTAGATTTAACAGATTTTCATTTTCGGCAGAACAGATTTTTTTACAAAGCTTTGCTTCAGATAGGAATCTGGGCGCATTATTTATGGCCATCGTTGATTCCAGTGGTGAATGATTTTGTGCGGAATTCGGAAGCTATTTGTCAAGGTGTCTTTTGAAGGTTATCCTCAATGCATTGTTTCAGGTTGTAAGACGTTCGGGCCGTGAATGGTGGCAGTAGTTGATTCGTATGTTCCTTGTCTGTTACTGTGACAGGATGCTGCCGACTGGTCCTTATGTTTCATGTTTCATTTTTCTGTTGTTCAAATTCTTTTTGGTTCTGTGGTGGCATCATAGCTGAGTTGTCTTCGTCACTACGTTCTGTTGGTCTGGAATCGGGAACATGTTCAATCAGAATGTTCCTAGGCAGTCCTGTTTTCTTCTCTTATCCTGGTTACTATTCAGTACTCTTGGTTACTCCATTAGCTGTTCAAAAGAATGGCAGCTCGTTGTTTTCTTGTTCAAAGTCTAAAATCTGTATTGTTAAAGGCTTTTCTCCTCTTCCTGGATGGTTTCATGAAAGGTGTCGTATTTAAGGTGAAGGAGTGGTGGATCAATGGTTACTATGCGATAGACTTTGGTTCATTTTATTTGTTGCCTAGGCTGATGCTTTCCTTGTTTCTGTTTGGGTGTGCGTCGTTTCTTCGGTTTTTCTATAGGGCTGGTTCATTCTTGTTAGTTTTTGGTTGGTTCGTGTTGCCGTAGTAGCGTGATCGGATATAGTTCTGTGTTTATGGAATCGGTTGTAAACTATTTCCATCTAAGGACACTCTTTTTCCTCCATTTAGGTGTAGGGAGGTTTTTTAATGAGGTCATTGGAATGTTTCTTTGTGTTTTCTTCAATACAAAGAATCTTTTATTTTCAAAAAAAAAATAACTACGATGAAAGTGGTAGCTGTATATAATCCACGTTATGTCGGCATGAACCATCAAATAATATTCAATTTGACTTTGGATATGAACAAATTTCAGTCCGATTTGTACATATTTAGTTTCATATTCAAAGTACGGATTGAATCCTCAATCAATGATTAAAATTAAAAAAATTAGGGTGAAGTAATGACTTCGTTAGACAGTTGTCAGGATATAGGGAATTCGAATTTTGGAGTCGTTGGTGGTTTATCTTATGTTGAATATGTTTAGTTTTATAACTATTTTCAACATTAACCAGCATATGGGGATGTAGCTCATATGATAGATCACTCACGTAGTACGCCAGAGGTATGGTGATAGATCCCTCATCTTCGGTTTCCATTTTTTATGGAGGGTCACGAGAATGTCTTCAACTGAAGTATTGTAATATTTTTTACATATAATATTTCCTAAGATTTACATTATTGCGATCTTATTGGCATCATATACATAAATATTACATAATATTGAAAACCTAAAAGGTGTGGGGTAGTAGTAAATCAAGGAAAATAAGGTGGATGTCCACGACCACTTCAGACCCTCTTAAACACAACCTTCAATGGCTCATCGGCAAGCACCAGGCGCCTAATCCCATCAACATCAACAAAAACACCCAATTCCCCACATACGGGTCTGCAGATATCGCACACCCCGGGGCAGAAAACAAGCTTATAATCATCTTCAAATCTTTCGATCTTAAACCAGTTGTTCAGAGTTTCACTCCCCGGGTTACCCAGAGCACCGCCGGTCGCAACCACGAACTTCTGTAACGATTTGTCGAAGGCAAGTTCCCAGAGAGTGCTTTGAAGACAAATCGTAGAAGCATTGAATATGACGTTCAGATCGGTGGATAGACGTACAACACTGCCTTGTTGCTCGACGTTCACAGGTGAAAAATATAATGGGAGACCATTCGATACTTCCTGTTGCTCTTGAACGACGACGAGCGGGCACCCGATGTTGGGGTCGGCGTCAGTGGCGCTGTCGAGAGAGAGCCCGCCTCCTCTGCCGCGGATGACCGGTAAAACGTAGTAATAGGTGCGGGTCCGGAGCTCTTGACCCGACACATCGAGCACTGCATCCGGTTGATCAGTGGCTATTGTTGAGCTAAAGAGAAGGAAAGTGAGTGCTGAAAATAATGCAGTCTTCATTGTGTTTGTTATGCCTTGCTTCCGTTTGAGTTGTTCCTTGGTGTTGAATGATGGCAAGGTATTTATATCGCTAGTGGCCTTTGGGTAACTCATAGGCATAATCAAAGCTCTTCAAGAAGTTAGGCAAGAACGTGTCGCCTTTTGTGGATGTAATTGTTTTCATTTATCAAATTGTGTTTGAAGATTTTAAATCTTCAAATCTGAACCTTGTAAAATTTTCAAAGTCATTGTAATTGTTTTCTTGAATGCATTGTTCTCATTTAATAACTACGATGAAAATGGTAGCAATATATTATCCACATTATATTAGGTCGGCATGTACCGATAAATAATATTCAGTTTGACTTTAGATATGAACAAATTTCGGTCCAGTTTGTGCATATTTAGTTTCATGTTAAAATGGTCCCGACTATATGGTATTGATTTATTAAATCTCACGATTATTAAAAGTTACAAAATGGTTCTCTAATTATAGAGTGTTGCTTTGTTGAGTCCGTCAACTATAAAAATTATAAAATGATCACTCGACTATTCATTATATTCCAAAATTTTCCTTTTCCATTAAAAATTGATGGTATACTGAGCCGAATGTTAATATGCTGAATGTGATATGATAAAATCTGATTCTAAAATTTCAAGCGACTTTTTTTTTGAAATAGGGTACTTTGTATTAAAAGAAAACAAAATACACCACCTCAATGACCTCATTAAAAAACTTCCCTAATCCTAATCGGAGGAAAAATAGTGAACCTTGGGGTGGTAAGGGACAATACACATGATAGACGAACATTATACAATCCAAGCTCCTCCAAACTACTTATCGAAACCGACTCACAATAGACGAACATTATATTTCAACCATCATGTTAATGTCTAGTTTAGACAACTATCAATTTTTTAATGAAAGATGACGAGTTTGGAACATAATAAATAGTCGAGTGACTATTTTGTATCTCTTAATAGTTGAGGAACTTAACAAAAGTAACATTCTATAGTTGAAGGACTATTTTGTAACTTTTATAGTCGAGGGACTTGATAAAACAATATCATCTAGTTGGGGACCATTTGTGTACTTTACCCAAAAATTTATTATTCTCTCATTTTGGCCATGTTTAAATTTCTCATAATTTATCTTTGTATCTAACATGAATTAGAGAGATTGAAGGAAAAATGAAAATTAATAGTACACCTTAGGAGATTAAAAGATTAACTTTGCCTTTATAAGTGCTTTTTGGCGTGCTTTGTATTGATTAACTCAAGAGACGAGCAGACATCTCTAACCATAGAGTTATATATAAAATTCGACCACTTTAGGTTTTATAATGAACAATTTGTGTGTAATTACTATATTTTAATTAATCAGCTTTGCTAATATTATTATTCAGACGTTTGAATATATTTTAACCAATCAACTTTGAGATTATTATTATTTAAATGTTTGAGGGTAAAGGGACCCTCTATGATAATCGATCATAGAAATAAATAGAAAAATGAAGGGATATATTGATACTTACCAATTTGATGTTTATTTGACATTAACTTAACTCAGAAAAGCATTAACAATAATAGGCCATCAAGGAGTACCTGCAAAGGGGTTGGAAGTAGAAGCTACTACATTATCCAACATAAACACAATTTTATAGCGGCGGATTGAATCGACAAATGGGGATGAAGTATTACTCTTTCTGTGAACCACAGGAGGAGCTTTCAACAACGACATGAACCACCACAGCAGGGGCTCATTAAACTACAAATTAGACAAGGATATTGCTGGTTGTGTACCGTAAAACATTAATTCTCAGCCAAATCAAACCATTAGTTCATGAGCTTGACTTTCTACCTTAACACTAGTCATTCCTAGTTAGTTTGATGAACACACAATGTAGCTTGCACAGTAAGGAAGAATTACAAGGATGTTAGCCTTTGAACATACTTCCTACCTTCCATTATTCTGATAACCAAAACTTGTTCAACCACATATCCATAGCTTTAGCTTTACTCCTACTCATAAAAAAACTAAACACTCGTAAATAAATAAAGCTACCTCTCATATTTTTCCCAGCTTTTCTCTTTTGAACGTGAGCTTTGTAGCATCATCATCTCCTTCAGCAGTCACGATGAAATCATGCAGAGGAAAGCTACCTCTTTCTATTACCACACTTACACTCTGCAGCTTTGCATTCCTTGCTCTCTTATATACCGAAAGACTAAGCTTCAAATCTTCAAATTCTCTTCTCAAAGCTCGATCCTGTGCTAGAAGAACTGCTTCTGCAAAAGCTAGCAAGTGATTCAATAGTTTTTTAGTATACATTCAGAATATTTTGTAATTATTGGTAATGCATGCATGCACATACTACCTCAGGCGTAACTATTTGAATCTGAGACCTTTAAAGAGAATAATACTCATTTCTATCATTGAGCCCGCTCAATGAATTCTGATTAACTGTTTTTTCTCTAGCAGATAGGGTTTAGTTTTATATCTGTCTGGTTAATTCGCAGAGAAAATGGTGGAAAACCCTGAACTCGACGACAGGTTCGAGTTCGACCCAAAAGAATGCGATATTACTCGGGGGAAGTGGGTGTTCAACCCTTCTGTCTGTTAGTAAAATAGACTGCTGCAAAACGAGGCGTTAGCACTGACTGAAAAATATTAAATAAAATAATCAATCAGAATGATAACCGTGTCGTGGTAATCCACTGCCTTAGAAGCAAATTCGCCCCGATGTGTGTAATCGCTACAATGGACGAACAACCCCCTGAGGTTAACACGGCTCTCCAAGAATTCGTACACCCGAAAACTGGAGTGAACTTGGTGGTATTGCTCTTCTCTCAACTCAAACAACACTCAAAAGATAGGAGTGTTTCAAAGCAAATGTTTGCTTGGGATATCTCAAAGTGAATGAAATTGCCCTCTATTTATAGGCTAAATAGTGAGGGCAAAATAGTCACTTCCAAATCACAATTTAATTCTATTAATCATAGAATTAAAAACCTTTAAAAAACTGTTACAAATTGAGCATTACCAACATTCCCCCACTAATGCGAAAGAATTCTTTCGTAAAGATGAGAGCAATGAAGTAAAAACATGAGAAGAGCAATAGCGAGATTAGTTGCTTAAGCACTAGTGAACGTATCTGGAACTAGTACATAGTGATGATGAGCAATCCTTCTCTTAGATAAGTGAAACTAGTCTGGAACTTTCTAAGATTGGGGTAAACTCATAACACACAACTAACCCCTTCATCCACCAAAGTTCTCGATGTGTCTACAAAGAATATATACAAAAGCGTATATATGTTTAGCCCTCTTTCCTCAGGATTCTAATAAGTGTACTAGAAAAACGGCCCAACGTTTTTCATAGAAGGTGGCTAATCCTTCTCACTTACGTAGGTTATTTCATCAAATTTATATCAACATAAACCACTCAAACTGAGCTATGAAATAATTAAGAGCTTTTATAATAGCTCAACCTCACAAAGGGTATGGTGACTTTCTTCAAGTTCATTATTAATGAACCACCCAAACTCTGGGATAAGAAGTCATTAAGAATAAATATTCAGCCTCATAATTCGGTGAATTCAATATGTCATTCTCACTAGGAACTCCCATTCAATATGTCCTTCTCACTAGGAACCTCTTGGGTTTGAATTCATTAAGAGTTTAATAAAACTCATCCTCTCAAGCGGTAAGTTCATCTAGTCCTTCGCGATTAGAACTACCCACTCAACTCTGGGTTATGAACTTATTAAGAATAGATATTCAACCAAAATCGGTAAATTCATCAAGTCTTTCTCACTAAGACCACCCAAAGCCTGGGCTATGAATTTATTAAGAGCAATTAAGCTCATCCTGGGCATGCACATTATTCATCATAGGGATAGGTAGTAGGAATGTGCACTATGAGTCTTTCCATGGTTTCGTTTGACCACATGGAACTTAGATAACTAAGTTGGGTATCCACCATGAATTCCTCAACCAATGGGCTTTAGGCCCATCCCCCTCGACGAATCTAGGACCAGCTTCCGACTTAACCCTTTGGTAAGCGGATCTGCTAGGTTCCTTTCCGACTTCACATACTCTAAAGAGAGCACTCCATTCTTTATCAAGTGTCTAACTGATTCATGTATTATGCGAATGTGTCTTTTCTTACCATTGTAAGCTTGGTTCTTAGCCACACATATTGCAGCTTGTGAATCACACAACAATGAAACTGGAGGAGTCGGTCTTCCCCACAACGGAATATCTGCTAACAATCTTCTGAGCCACTCGGCTTCTTGCCCAGCTAGGTCAAGAGCTATAAACTCTGTCTCCATGGTAGAACGAGCAATACAAGTCTGCTTTGATGATTTACATGAGATTGCTGCTCCACCCAAAGTAAAAACATACCCGCTCGTAGAGCTTACCTCATCATTATCAGAAACCCAGTTGGCATCACAATATCCTTCTAGTATCGCAGGAAAGCCAACAAATTCAAGTTTCCAATCCAAAGTACCCTTAAGATACTTCAGTAAGCGTTTAAGAGCAATCTAGTGCTCACCACTCGGATTATGAGTATATCTACTTAGTCTACTCACATCATAAGCAATATCAGGCCGAGTATAGTTCTTTAAGAACATTAAAATTCTGATTAATTTAGCATATTATGTTTGGGAAACGCTACTTCCTTTATTCTTAAAGAGATATATGCTAGTGTCACAAGAGTTCGAACAGGGACGACGTCAAAACTGTCAAATTTCTTTAACACTTTCTCAAGATAGTGTGCTTGACATAAAGAAAATTCCTTTCCAGTAAGTTTGACTCCTAAGATTACATCAACTTCTCCCAGATCCATCATCTCAAATTTAGTGGACAAGAAACCGTTTGTTTTGTTAATGGACTCAATGTTAGAACTGAAAATCAACATGTCATCAACATACAAAACTTATGATGACGCAATCAGTATCAAACATCATCGAATACACGCAAGCATCCGAACCATTCACAACAAAACCAAAACTAAGTATAGTTTTATGAAATTTCTTGTACCATTGTTCTCATATAGATCTCCTCATCTAGATCTCCATTCAAAAATGCAGTCTTAACATCCATTTGATGTACTTGCAACTTATGAATGGAGGCTAGTGCAAATAATGCACGGATCGTTGAGATGTTCATAATGGGAGAGTAAGAATCAAAGTAGTTTAAAACAAACTTTTGAGTGAACCCTTTGACAACTAGCCTTGCCTTGCACCACTGGATCAAATCATCTGGTCTCATTTTCTTCCGGAAGATTCATTTGCTACAGATTGGTTTAAATCCTCTAGGCAAGTCAACTAATTCCCAAGTATGATTAGACATTATCGATTCTAGTTCATCATTAATAGCGCTTTTCTAGAACTAGTATCGATAGATCTTATAGCCTTTTTAGGATCCTTATATAATATTTAAGCTATATGATCAGAAAGAGAGTCTAAATCATTTATCTCAGAAATAAAGGAAGTGATAAAATTTGGTCCAAATAGCCTTTTACTTCTTCTAGTCTCGAAAACAATTTCTTGAGAAGGCCTAGCAGGAATACTAGAAGAAGTTGATAGAATATTTTCTATTTGAGTTTATGCATTTAATCTACATTTTAAGACACCCACACATTTCTAACATTTTAGGATATCCTAAGTGTCTTATAAAACGTGTAAACAAATACTCAATCATACTAGAGTAAAGTTTGTTATGAGTTTTAGCCATAAAACTATTTTAACAAACTCAAGTTTTGTTTACACATAATTATATTCTCAAAGTTTTGAGAAGTTACAAATCATTAAGATTAAAATGCATAAACCAATATGAAATTCTTTATGACTTTTCCTCATTCAAAATGAATTTCGATTTTTTCCTAACATCAGGAAAAAATGATCTCAAGTTTAAAACAAGAGATTTTAGCACAACTGAAATAGATAATCTCTTTTCTTTCCTCTACTTAGGAAAATCACTTAAAGAGATTTAATAGCTACAACACACTTTTAGTAGCAATAGATTATATCATATACTCATTCATGATATTCAACATATTAGCCTTAAAGAGATCATCATATATTTTATTTACTATGACTAAATTTGGTATTCCGCTCAACCAAATTAATCTCTACTCTTTTAACTTCTGCACTAAGTTTGTAAGAGTTTTTATCTTGTCATAGTATTGGAATAGTGAGCATAGTAATGAACAATGCACCAGGTAGGTTTCTATGAAAGAGAGGTGGTGCACTAGGCACGCTTAAGTACCAAGTCTTCATAGAACCAATCCTAGACATGCACTTTCATACTCATCACACTTCTTTCCAATAAATCATTTGTGAATTTTCTCTTTCTTTAAATAAGATCTCTTTAAAGAATTATGCTTGATACTTTTACTCACAATAGTATCTTATTAAGCATATAAATTTTGGGCTCAAACTACTGCCTTAGCCTTAGTAGTACTACCTTAGTCTTTAATAGCGGTTTTATCTCATTTTATAGTATCCACTGAGTTTTAAAGACTATCTTAAAGGCTCATGCAATCTAATTCATGTATTTAAAAAGGCATGAATTAACAGGCAACAAGTCTAAACAATCTGACCTCACAGGTAGAATCACAATTCCAAATAGACTTGTTCATTCTCACCATGCATGCAACTTCATTCTTTGCATCATCATCTTCATGATTCTCCAAAATTACAACCATCCTGTTATCTTTATAAATATTTCAAAAGAAATTTTCAGTATGATAAAATTTATTTTCAACTTAATATTCAGAAACTGAATAATCTTACTCCCACATGAAAATAAATAGTTAATCTTTTCCACATATTAACCAATCATACATGCATTATCTCACAAAAATGTTAATCAACATTATAATCATGTCACTTCTTGATTATAGCATATAAGTTTCAAATTGAACATTTACTAAACACCAACATTTATATAGCTATTAACAAACATATATATAACTATTTAATAAATTGTTCAACCTCCTATTGAAACTTAAAAACCATTTAAATATAATGATTATAATTAACATTCATGCTTAAGATTAAAAAAAATCATGAAACTACAACACTAAATGTGAAAACATGAGTTTCATGTAAATATTAATGCAAAGCTTTATTGCATTTAAATTGATTAACCTTAATGCACATTAAAGGTTTCTTTCACCATGCATATAACAAATGGGCATTTCAATAACAATTCAAAATTTATTATAATAATAATAATAAATTAACCAATTTCAACATTCTCGTGAACCAAGACCCAAACGAGAACGAGTGAAACCACCATCGGCTAATACTTCAATCTGTATATTACTTTGTAAATAAACACCATTAAAGCTATAATTTGCACAAATAATGGCCAATTAAAATTATTCAACGTTTCAATTCAAACTTATTTACAAAGTAATATAAATCCAATATTTAAAGCTATAATAAATGCATAGAATTGTTTCAACCCAAACGTATTAGTAAATAAAGATGTTACTCACCTTTAACTCATGTAACAACACCTTTTAACATGCTCCTTTTAATATAACAACATAATGAGTTACAAAAATCACATTAGTGAAACCGTTATAGCATATTAATAAATATATAAATTCTCATTATGCTAACGGTGGTTATAACTCATATCATTATAGCATCTAAAGCATCTTAGCATTGAAATCAACGTTTTCCCAAATACCTATTTTACTATATTCTAAACTATAGCAATAAAATATAGGTATATATTCAAAAACGGTTTAAACGTTTAAACAACCATGAATTCTAAAAATCATTTCTTCTTGATTATGATGTTACAAAAATTAATCAAACATCTTTAAAGGATTTTCATATAAATCCAATTTAAAGTCATTTATAACTTTAATCTCCCAAACCACATGATAAATATGTTATTGTGCATTTATAAATGCAGACAATAAAAACGTAAAAAACATTTATTCACATAAGTTACCATCATAAATTTTATAACTTATGTGCATTCATTCTTTAATGCATTGAATATACCACTAATATTCAATTATGGTACATGCGTAACATTGGCAATCTAATATATATATAAACATGATTTTACACCTTTAATAATAAACCAATCGTTTCAATGATTAAAGCATATCAATAATGTCATAATGATTATAACATATTCATGCTTACCAATAAATATCATTTGTTAAAAACAATATTTAATGACTTTAATTGCTAACGTGCATATGTTTTAAACATCATTATTATGCATTATTATAATAAAACATATGCATTATTATAATAAAACGTATGCATTATGGAAATGTAACATACTTCCTAGCATATTTATGGGAAGAACTCTTCATCCCAAATACCTTCGAACATCTTTACGTTTACTGCCATGACTAATCCATACTCAACAAACACTTCATCCCACATGCCTTGATTGCCAGTTTCTCGTAAAAGATTAGACATGTAACATTTAACATGATAGATCAAACCTGAACTCGGATTAAAGATCCTTGTAACGATGATCAATCAAGACAAATATTCTTTTAACAGCAGTATAAGAATTTGCTTCTAAATTGTTAGTAAAATAGACTGCTGCAAAACGAGGCGTTAGCACTGACTGAAAAATATTAAATAAAATAATCAATCAGAATGATAACCGTGTCGTGGTAATCCACTGCCTTAGAAGCAAATTCGCCCCGATGTGTGTAATCGCTACAATGGACGAACAACCCCCTGAGGTTAACACGGCTCTCCAAGAATTCGTACACCCGAAAACTGGAGTGAACTTGGTGGTATTGCTCTTCTCTCAACTCAAACAACACTCAAAAGATAGGAGTGTTTCAAAGCAAATGTTTGCTTGGGATATCTCAAAGTGAATGAAATTGCCCTCTATTTATAGGCTAAATAGTGAGGGCAAAATAGTCACTTCCAAATCACAATTTAATTCTATTAATCATAGAATTAAAAACCTTTAAAAAACTGTTACAAATTGAGCATTACCAACACTGTCAAGCCTTTATACACCGATAGGAGTTGCCCGTACGTGGAGAGGCAATTTTCTTGTGAGAAAAACGGGCAGCTTGAGTTTGATTACCGTCATTGGGAGTGGCAGCCGGACGACTGTTACTTGCCTAAGTGAGCTACATTTTGTTCCTTTTATTTGAGTTGATTGCATTCTATATAACTCAATATTTAAATATCAGTTCAGGTCTACAATACAATAGGACTCAAAGTTAATAATTTTGTATCACGGGGTGGAGATAAAATTAAAAAAAAAATACACTTGGATTACTTGATTATTAATTCATTTACAACTGAGTCAATTTTAAAAGTTATAATTTAATCATTCAATCAAAATATTATTGTAAACAAGTCATTAGTCGTTAAATATTAGATGAAACAATGATATTACTTAGTAAATTGTTATCATATCATGAAAGTTACATTATATTTATGGAGAATAGCAAGCAGTCCAAGAGAAGAAAAAAAAAGAGTAAATTGAAAGACTTTTTAAATATGAAGTGTTATTTATTAGATTGTTTCGTATTATGATTAAATTGATAGAATGTATAGGGATCAAAATTGTTATTATACCAAGTAATTATAATATAATATGTGTTCAGAATATTTCTCAGCCTATTGACAGCACACACCTCATGAAAACGTAAATGCTCAAACACAAGTCCTCAAAGAATAACATCAGTCTCTTTTACCACTGAGATCACTCAATGAGTTCTTCTACATGTTAGATTTAAATTAGAATTGGAGAAACATAAGTAATACAATGTTGATTTTTAAGAAATTTAAACCCAAAATAGAATGTATTAAACTTAAAATTAATTTAAAATTTCAATCGAGGACTTATGGTGCAATAAACTTTTTTTCCACTTATCCTTTGAATTTCTTTCCTTCTAATGTTTTTTTATGTATAGATTTTGTCGTAACCGGTTTTCGTCCGGGCACAAAAATATTAAATTGGGCGAGGAAATTGATGTGAATAAATAATTTTGAAAATAATTTAAGAGTCGCCATCGGCCTTTTGGGTCAGGTAGGTCGAATACCTAAAAAATATTTTTTAAAAGAGTTTTAAGAAAACATCAATTAAAAAAAATTAAACTGATCTGCGTTTTATAACCAAAAATTCGTTCTTTTTAATAATAAAAAGGGATTCGTGGTCGGTTACGTTTAGGGAAGGATTAGCACCCCTACAACGCCCAAAATTGGTACTTTGCAATTATAAATTGTCTCTATTATTAAAATTTAAAAATTCAAAAATATATTTAATTCTATTATTTTCAAAATTATATATATAAAATATTTATTTATTTAAAAATATCCAAAAAGAACTTCTAGGTGCCTTAAGACAGCTCTTTTTCTTTGATATTGATAAATAATATTATTTAATTTTTAATTTTAAAATATCAGAATAGGACATCCAGTTGTATTAAGACTGTCCTTTTCTTTGATTTATTAAGATAAATATTTAAAAATTACTATTATATATATATTTATGAATATATAAAAATATTTATTCATAAAAATAAAAATACTATTAAAACAATATATTTAAAAACAATAAAATAAAAGAAAACATATAAAATAAATGACTAAATTACAGTAAAAATAAAATTAAAAGTCTAATTCATAATTAATCAAAATTATAGGGATCAAATATGTTATTTTCTGATTTAATGATTTAGTGACTAAAATAAAATTATCTAAAATTCGAATTTTATAATGAAATAAATTAAAAATATAAACTAGGAAAAAAAATTATTTATGGAAATTAATGGATCAAATCTGTAATTTATCCTAAATATATTATTTTAATATGAAGGACTAAAATAAAAGAAATTAAAATTCGAAGACCAAATTAAGAATATTATAAATTTAATTTAGTGACTAAAATGTAAATTTTACAAATCCGGAGGACTGCGGACGGGGTTTAACTATTTCATAATTACGCGTATAGTCCTTCCCGAAACGACGTCGTTCGGGAAGGACTATAAATGGTCCAAACCGGCTGGCCCGAAGGGCCAGCCATTTCATTTCTTTCTTTTTTTTCTCTCTCTAGCAGAGAGAGTTCTAAAACTCTCTGCCTTCTCTCTAGCTTCCCTCACCGGAGGGAAGCCGGTCACCGGACGGCAACCGTCTGCCGCCGTGACCATCACCGCCGGCCACCGCATCCGGTGGCCGGAAAAATTTTTCTTTACACTAATATATAGATCGGACCGTCCTAAGGACGGTTCCGGTGTTATTTCTTCCTAAAAGGCTCCCAATCGGAGCAAATCTACAAAAGTACCTTCGTTGTTTCGAAGGTTCCGGTGAGATCTGGTAGTCGGAGCTTCCTCGGTAAGTCTCTTCTTCCTTTTTCTTTTTTTTTTCCTTCTGGTTCTTTGCTGCTACTGAGATCGTTGGTATTAGTTTGTTTTTTTCTTTTCTCTGTTTTTTTTTTTCGGTTCTGTCTCTGTCTCTGTCTCTGTCCTCTTTTTTTCTTTTTTTTTTTCAGGTGGGTGGTGGCTTTTATAGCCACCACCGGTGTTCGTCTCGGACCGGTCCGAAGAGGGGCTTCGGTGAGTCACCGGACTACCAGTGGTGACTCACCCCGTAGCCTTGGCGTGGACGGCTGGTATTCTGTCTTCTGGAGTCCTCGGTTTGGACGTGGCAGCGGCGGAGTCTTCTGGAAGCAGCAGCAGCGGCGGCCGCGTGGCCCTAGGGTATCAAACCCTAGGGTTTCTCTCTGGAACCATGTGGACCGTTGGATCGTGCCAGATCCAACGGTTGTGATGAGGCGGCTGAGGATGATTAGGGTTAGGAAACCCTAACTGGAAACCTAAACATTTAGGGTTTCTAGTTAGTTTTGGACCGGTTTCAGTTGGTTTGTAACTGGGCCGGTTGAATTGTAATTGGTTTGTAATTTATTATGTATTTAATATATTTAATATAAATTAATAATAATAATAATAATAATAATAATAATAATAATAATAATAATAATAATAATAATAATATTAATAATAATAATATGGATAAAAATAATATGGATAAAAAATAGTATCTTCAGCTGCCCCTCTTTGCCCATTCTTGTGTTAACAAGAATAGGGCAAAGATGAAAAGATAATAAAATTTTTTATCCATTTGACTTTACTTTGATCATAATGGAGATATTGAGTAAATTCTTCTCTCTCTCCAAATAAGTTCTTCTTATTATGAACTTTCTGCTGGGGATGATGATGACCTCCTTTCTGTGATAGAGTCATTCAAAAGGTTGAATAAGCTCTTGATGAGTTCTTCTCATTATGAACTTTCTCTTCCTTCTTCAGATAATATCAAACAAAGGTTGAACAAGCTCTTCTCATTATGAACTTCTTCTTCCTTCTTCAGATGAGTTCTTTTCATTCATGAACTTTCTCTGGCAATGTTGATCCATCAAATAATGAATTTAAACAAAAAGTTGAACAAGTTCTTCTCATTATGAACCTCTTCTTCCTTCTTCAGATGAGTTCTTCTCATTATGAACCTTCTCTGGTAATGTTGATCCATCAAATGATGAATTTAAACAAAAAGTTGAACAAGTTCTTCTCATTATGAACCTCTTCTTCCTTCTTCAGATGAGTTCTTCTCATTATGAACCTTCTCTGGTAATGTTGATCCACCAAATGATGGATTCAGGTAAAAGGTTGAACAAATTCTTCTCATTATGAACTTCTTCTTCCTTCTTCAGATGAGTTCTTCTCATTATGAACTTTTTCTGGAAAAGATGATCCACCAAATGATGGATTCAGGTAAAAGGTTGAACAAATTCTTCTCATTATGAACTTCTTCTTCCTTCTTCAGATGAGTTCTTCTCATTATGAACTCTACCTTGCAATGTTAATCTTTCAAATGATAGATTTGAATCTTTGCTAAAATCTTTGAAATTCCTGTTAAAAATTCAACAAGAATAAAAATGAATGAAAATGCACCTATTTTTGTAAACACCTAAAATATGATGCATGAATGTTAAGTTATTTGATTTCAGATTGGTGAATTGAGTATTTCTTCAGTTGTAGAAACCCAATAGATCTTTCTTCTTCAAATCAGAGAGTCTATCATCTTTGACAAATGTAGAGGTAGATATAATGTAAAAAAATTTCTTGAGAATAAAACTCAATTGTATAGGCTCTTGAAAAGCTTGCATTCAGGCAACATGTTGATTCTGATAACAGCTCATCTGATTATGAAGTGGCCTTTCAAGATGATTTCACAGATATCGATAGTTCTTTTAAATACCAAGAAATCTTGAATTCTGATTCTGATGAAGAAAATAAACTGTTATACTTGACAAAAATGGGATCCTCAAGTGCTGAAACTTCAATATCCATGTAGAAATGTGGTCCAGATTCATCAATTGTAAAATTGATAAATTTTATATGTGCTGCTCAAATGACTAAGGCCGCTGATGCACTTCTTCGGATCAAATAACTCAAAGAACACTTCCAGAAGATGCTATTGGCAAATTCATCTTCTAAATTCAATGCTTGATTCTGTCCAATCAGATAACTTAAAGAACACTTCCAGAAGATGCTATGTTCTGTCCAACCAGATCAGATAACTCAAAGAACACTTCCAGAAGATGCTATTGGCATATTCATTTGTTCCAGTTAATGTTTGGAATAGGATATCACCATGCTCATTCGATGTAGAGCCAAAATTTGTAGATTCGAAGCATTTCCATGCTATTACACTGAAAAGGGCTATATTCATAATTCTGCCAATTAAGAACAGATTTTCTCTTATTCTGCTTCCTCCATGTGTTGATGCTTTTCCATTGAAAAAGAAGTGATGGCCTTCATGGGATCCAAGAACAAAGTTGAACTGTTTATAAACATGTACATGAAGTGCCAAATTGACAGAAAGGATCTGTAAGGCTCTTGAAGCTTATGACAATGAGTCACCTTCGAGTGTTCAAAAGTATGTTCTTGATGAGTGCTGAAAATGGAATCTAGTATGGGTTGGAAGGAATAAGGTTACTCCACTTGAACCTGATAAGGTGGAAATGCTTCTAGGTTTCCTTAAAAACCATATACAAGGATCTGTATAGAAACATGTTTCCTAGTGATATCAATGTCTTGTTTCTTTTTGCTGGAATCAAT